GAACAAATGTAATTAATTAAATCTTTAAAAAAAAAAAAGGATGAAAAATGTTTCAGAAAAAAAAGTTTGTCGATTTTCCTATTATTAGCGTCTTAGTAACTGGTTTATGACCTGTGGTGATTAACTTAAGGAAATTTGAAAGTATCAACTGTGCTGCTCTAAAATATACTAGTTACAATATCTAGCTAGGGTTAAGATATAGTCATATATGCTAAAAAGAAAAGCATGTAAATATGGAGATAAATATAAACAAGTAATTTCAGTATGATATGCAAGTATGATATTCATAAGCAAGACAGGCTTTTGCTTATGAATAGAAGGGAAAATTAGTGTATGAGACAAAGAAATGTTAAATTAACCTTGAAGTCCGGGCTTCTCAGCCATCACTTTACATAGAAATCTCCTGGGGATCTTGTTAAAGTGAATGAATAAAGGGAGAAAATGTTTTTTAATTAAAGTCATTTGGAATTCAGAGTGCCTTTGGGAAGTAGATCCCTCTATTCCTCTTTTCGAATTTACAAGAAGCCAAGATTAACCAACTCTTTAAAGATACTAAAACAAAAGCAAATTAGGCCCAGCACCATGGTGTGATGGTAGGGCACCACTGTACAAGTCAGAGCCACATGGAAGTCCAGGTTCAGTTCCTGGATTAACTTGGACAGGCCAGGCACAGTGGCACATACCTATAATCCTAGCTAACTAGGAAACTGGGACAGAAGATCACAATATTGAGACCCTGTCAAAAAATACGTATCTCTGGGGCTAGCTCTCAGTGGTAGTGTACTGTTGAAGAGAAGCTGGATCCCACATGGCATCTGGGATTCAAATCACCAACCTGGGCATCTTGAAACATACCAGACACACATGAGAGTGCACAAGACCCAGTAGGCTATAGAACTGGAGGAAGACGAGCATGGTGCAACCAGACCCTGCAAAGGGTGATTCTCTGTTTCCCGCTCTCACTCTCACTTTCACTCTGTCATATGCACCCACAATCATGAATAAAGAAATAATTTTAAAAATATACCTCCCCCATACTTCCTCTCCCTCTCCTTTCATTAACAAAAAGAGTAGCTCACATTTCTTTTCCCAAAACTTTTTCCTTAGCATGTCACTAGTATTAATTGTATAGTAGAAATGTCATTTTCCTTTGTCATCGTCAGTCATTTGCCATGATTTCAATATGAGAAGTTCCTAAAGTAATGTGGGTCTACAGAGCCTACAAGGTTATTTATGTAGGAATACGTCAGTGCTTAAGCACAAAGCTAACTGAAAAGTTTGGAAACTTCATTAGAAAGGGGGGAAATTCATAATTTTTTTCAACTCCTAAATTGAAAACCTGTTACAAATGAGTGTGTCATTAATATCCTTATATTCCTATTTACATAAATATATCCCGTGGGTGCTTTGTGTTGGTGGAGGGTCTTGCTTACCAATGGCTGCTGACTGATCAGGGTGGTTGGTTGCTGAACACTAAGGAGGTTGTGAAAATTACTTTTTTGTGTGTGAAAGCAGAGAATTTACTGAAGGAGAGAGAAATAAAAAAACAGCTCAGCTCCCAATAACAGAGGGGTCCTCAAAAATTGGTTGCCAAAGAAGAACTGAGGCGGGGTGGGGAGGTCCATCTTGGTCAAGAAGGGCTTTGTCTGGGCTTGTTCTAGATGGGGCTCATGCATGCAGTTCCCTCCTGGTGGGAAGGGGAGGCACCTGCTGGATGGGTCCACGTATTCTCCTAATTTTGGAGTGAGTACAAAAATCAGGACATTCCTTGTCTAGAAGCTTTGGGCCATAAAAACTATTCTCAGGGCCAGCAGGTGGCGTGGTGGATAAAGTCACTGGATTCCTACATGGCCAACCACGGTTCGAGTCTCAGACCTGGCAGCTTGCTTTCTCACTTTCCCTCTCTCTCTCTCACTCTGTCTCTACC